AGAATAATTTATGTCCCAGGAAGTGCCCACCGCATTAAGTACTAAAAGGACTATTAAAACGACCACTAAAACAACTACAGGAAATTCTGCAGTGGCGCACTATCAGTAATATACTGCCATATTACGAGGCTTGTTATTGCTTAAACATCCAGTGTAGCAGAGTCCACGGGTGTAGTAGTCAAGATGATGTACCCAGGCGTTTGCCCTCGATTCCGATCCAGTTTTCACCCAACCTTTTCGGCTTTCACTCCTTTTCTGTAACCTCAACCCAGTATTTTCACTTACTACTTCTCATTTCCTTTCTTTTAAATTTGTTTTTATCAACTGTCCATTATGACCACGCCTATGTCCCTCCCAACTTTCCAATTCATATTCTCCTGCCCCATTCTTGGGGCTACATAGACGTGCATTAACTCAATGACCACTATGATCTCTAGGCGATAATCATTGAAAAGACCGCGGGGGTTTAACTTTAACTATACCGAAGTAACAAAATGATATCAACCTTGTAGTGTCTTACATGTGACATGGGCCCTCTTTGACCAAGCAATAACATGTAATTCTATTCATAATGCACACTCTTCATCACCCTTACATCAAATGGCGGTTTGGCCGAGTGGTCTAAGGCGATTGACTAGAAATCAATTCTCTTCGGAGGCGCATGTTCGAATCATGCAGCCGTCGTTCAAATATCTTTTTTTGCCGGGAGCGCACTTTTTGCACTCGTTAGTACAACATATATTAATGCATCGAGTGTACTCGTGAATTTATCCAACAATAGTACTGAGCATTGTTACTAGTTTACCTTTTAAGAATTGCCTGTGCTAGATGAAGAAAATTCCTACTTTCCTCACGATAGCGGATAGCCCTCGAAGAGTGCGCTTAGCCCCCTACGGCTTTTAATCTCTCTCTAAACGTCGACCTACTTTGGTATATATATAATCTCGCCATCACTACCCCGTAGAGAGTTTATATTATCTATATGGGCGCATGTCTAGTAAAAGCCGTATTAGCCGTCAGCCAGAGTGGGGTCATTCCATTTACTTATTCCACCTGTTGCATTAATTAAGTCATATCTGCTTATTACCGCGGTAGTTCATCGAGTGCCTTGTAAGCCTAGTTACTGTTAGAACCATTTGGCTATATCATATCGGGTTGGTGCCTGGAGGGCCCTCCAGGGGAAGCCGGAAAGTGGGTTGAAGATTGTAGGAATTGCCCAGGTAAGCCGAGATGCGAACTTCATATTCGGTTGGGATAGTACGGAGAACTTCGTACGGAGTAGTCATTTCTCGATAAGCACCGTCATCGTGCAGTGTCAAGCCCACCTGCCTTTTACAGTTACTCAGTATCTCGTTTAAAAATTATTATTCTATGAATACATACATATTATCACTATGCATGCACTAATGTGATAGATGGTATGCAGCAACTCAATTGGTTAGATATGCATAGACGGCACGGAGATTCCCCCAAGGCTTGGTTGTGCTTAAGCATCTAGGTAGCATTTATACTACTCCACTGTAAATACACTGTCAGTTGTTACGATCTGCTATCGCATACTTCTTCTGTCACATGCTGTCACATGCTCCTCCCAGGTTATTTATTGTTTGCTTCCGTGGGATAGCTCTGCTATAAGATTCCCCGGGATTTACAACTTGCTCCTCTTCTTCCCTATCTATCTTTGATACTCTAGTTAGAATGCACTCTGGACCGTCACCTCGCAAAGTTAAGCCAATTACATACACATTTTTACTCGAACCCAAAAACGGCCTCGACTCATCTGCAACCACAACAGTTTTCCTTGCGTCTTTTCACCCAACTCACGTCTTCTTACCTACGTCAAACTTTGACATCAATATCGCAAGCAAACATACTAGGAGCGCACAAGACAATATTCAAAAGAAAATTTTCAGCGGAGATGTTCAGGAATCCCCGAGAGGTCGCACCTGACGCCGTATCTTCAGCATTCAGTCAAATACTCAAACCTCTGCTTGAGGAGGCCAGCGATGAGCTGTAAAATCCAGATGATTGAATGAGGAGAATAGAGCGTTAAGTAATTCTCGAGTGCGTGATATGTAATTTATGCAATGTATGCAGGTAAGGTCGGTAGCGTGTATAAATAATTTGGTGGTGGGCATAAAGATTGAGGCTCCATGTTCCCCCCCCCCTCTTTCCCCTTTCTACTTCTTTTGAAAATCTTCTCATCCTATTCCTTAACATAATAGACGTAGACAGAAAGAACAATGAGCACACTCAAGGATCAACAACAGCAAAAAATCAAGCGGAAGAAACAGAGCTAGCAACTGTGTAACCCTTTCAGACACGGTAGTTTAAACAGTAAGTCATATGGAACGAGGACGTGTCTTAAAAAAGCCATGCCACAAACCACCTCCATAGCATCTACATAAACCCCAATTAGTACTTCATTCTGACAAGAACGACAATGGGGTGTATCAGTTGCCGAAGATCGCTGGGCATTTGATCTTTTGCTTTAGGGCCTGTCGCATTCCTGGCCAATTTTTCAGTAAAACTGCCAATGCAGCTCTCAACTCTTTACTATGTCCGAAGTCGAGTTCTGGCATACCAGGCATAGTGTGAATGATCAAGTGTTCCGCATCACGAATATCACTCTGTGCCTTTGGGCCCTTCCGCTGATACTGTGACAAAATCTTCTTAAGTTAGTGGTTTACTTTCAACAGTCAAAAATGGACTAGACCCCATATTTATAGATATTGTTGTCCGTTTACGTCGTGTGCATCTGCTCAAAGTGTTCTAAAATATCCAGCGGTAATTGAAACAAGGGAAGAGCGCCATTGCCATAGTCACCTGGTAAGTGAAGTATTGTGGAGGGGGCGAGCGGGGCAAAACTCATTGTAGTGATTATTCAAATAATATGATAGGTCAACTTTCCATTGAGAGGGCTATGACTGAGGAAGATGACAATCACGTCCCTACGGAGGTCGCAGCAGGGGTCCATCAAAGGGTTGGGCCAGGGGGCGAAATGGTGGTCGGGAACACGACTCGGTGGGTGTTCTATGGCGGGCTGCCCAACGCTTGGAGACATGTACCTACAATATAAGACATATAACTAGTAGGTTAACTACTCTATTAAATTCTAAACCAACTCCGTTTTGTGGTGAAATTCATCTCGGTAGCTTTAAGATGAAGCAAAATCAGCGAGGCTATCGCTAAAGTACATAATCGGTTGGCGTTGTGGTGAATACTGCTCAATAACCACGGTGGATGTGATTTGGAATTTGAATCTAAAGAAGGAACAGAAAAGAGAAAGAGAGAAAAGGAGAGAGAGACGCTGGACAAAACAAAAATGAGGGTTCACATTGTCACGTGATCATGTTTCACCAAGGCACAGTTCGACCGAGGTAGTCGAGGTATTCCAGTCCAGGTCGTTCTTTCTTTGCAATAAGTACATTCACCAAGCTGGGAATGCTTTCTTCGATGGTAAGCCGAGCATCCGCACCCCCCAGCTCGGTTTTGACCCACCCTGGAGCCATCACCACCATCGGACGCGATGGGGCCTGACGAGCTGCAAAGCTGCGCATGTACATGTTCAGCGCAGCCTTAGTGCCACGATATACCTCTCGCTGACCCGTTTCATTGTTGCTGATACTTCCCTGCCCAGAGGACATCACACCAATAAGACCATTCGGAGCCACATGATGTGCCAGACTTTCAACGACACGCATGGGGCTCAGCGCATTCGTGACCATGACATGTACAAACTCCTCGGTTGATACATCGCCAATTTTTTGGGTTTGGTCACGATTCGTTGTTCCAGCATTGACAAAGAGAACGTCAAACATCTTGCCCGACAAACGCTTGTCTAGTGCCTGTATTTGATCGGGTTGGCAAATGTCCAAGGTCTCAATGTCAACTCGACCGTTGTACTTGTCTGCTAGCTCATGGAGTAATGTTCGCGACCCTCCGCGGACTGTCCCGACAACGTTCCATCCCTTTTCTAGGAATTCGGCCGCCATGGCGTGGCCAAGGCCACGTGAAGCGCCGATGAGAAGGATAGTGGGGGGTGAAGCGGACAACGTGGCGAGTGATTTCGGTGTCGATAAATTTTGAGCGGATTGGGTACCTTTTGTACCAAGCAGAGTCGGCTCGGCATTTTCTGGTTAACTCCGGGCCGAATACTGTTTGTTATCCATCAATATGATCTTGATCCCCACACAACTACTTTCGCTTCCTATATCTTGTCGATCTCCCTTTCCAGAAATCTGTGTTGCCATCCAAGCAATCCGTGCTTAGCGGTATCGCGACTTTAAGCTTATTGAATTTCCGCGTCGAGGGCCCCAGGGAATACTTAAAATAAATACCCAAGGGATCTACACGGGCCCACTGATAGGCGCACCAAGCTCACTAGTGTAGCGGAGCCCGGGCATCAAACGTCCGCCCCAATTGGCTGGACATCCTCGTTTCTTTCCGTTGGCTTTCTCCTGTTGGCTTTCTCCTGTTGGCTTTCTCCCGTCCACGGAGTAGATCATGGTCACGTTCTTTAATGGCTTAAACCAGTCTGGCCTGTGTCGACCCTGGCATCTTCTTGCTCAGCTTTGCTGTCCTGGGAAATGGCCTATCCTCCCGAGTGACCCATACACATAATGGGCATGGATAGAAGCATCGTGGTATCCGCCCAGCTCTATCACTTGAACTGACTGGGAGAATAGTTTTTAATTAGACTTCGGAAGAACCACGATATGATGCATAGGCTAATACATTTCGGTGATCTCAATCCATAGCCGACAACTATACTTGGGGGTTGTGCTATTACATGTATTCGAAATGTTTCGGATGGGGTTCACAGCATAGTGGGCCAATGGATTAGTGTGAGAGAGACCGACCGCTGTCCAGTCGGTGATCTATAGTGTGCATGAGTTAATTATTCACTTGTTGGATGATTTCAAATTTGATGGATTGATTGACTCCCTCATACGCTAGGGTTATATCCATTACTTTCGCCATAGTCTCTTCGTTTCCTTCTACTCACCCCCAGCCCTGACCAGATCCCCAAACCTCGTCCCCTCCTGTTTAGCCAGCACCGCAGGATTCCCAACCTCCACAATCTCTCCCGTATTCATAACAACAACCCTATCAAAGTCCATAATCATGTCCAACCGATGGCTGACCGCTATAATCGTGTAGTCCTTAAACTCTACCCTGATAATATCCTGCATAACACGTTCCGTCTCGCGGTCAACACTCGAACTCACCTCATCCAACAACAATATACCGCAGTCTGAGCCATTCCTTGCCCGGATAAAACGTCTCAGTAACGCACGTCCAAGCGACATGAGTTGCCGTTGTCCGGCGCTGAGCGTCCCCGCGCTCATGCCTGCCTCTAGGCCACCCCGCTCCTGGACGAACTTCCACAGATCCACGGCGATAAGCACAACTTGACATTCCTCGGGCGTTGAAACATCGGACGGATCTAAGTTCGCTCGGAAGGTGGACCCATCTGGTAGGAAAACCGCTTCCTGGGGTACTGCGATTATCCTCTCACGGAGTGCAGCCCGGTTTATGCGGTGTAGCGGCGTGTTGTCGATGATTGCGTTCCCAGCCATCTCGGGGAGGGGATCAAGGAGTTTGAGGAGTAGAGCGATAAGGCTGGACTTTCCGCTGCCGGTACGACCGCAGATGGCGACTTTCTCGCCTGTGTTGATAGTGAGGTGGATATTTCGGAGGGCTAAGTTAGACGTGCCGTCGGGTTGGTCCTCTGCACTACTCGTAGCATTAGCACGCTGTGTAATTAGTATGGCATCCATAAAGACATAGTTCTCTTACAAGTAATTTGCGGACACGCCCTTCAATTCCACAACACCATTTTGCGGCCACTGTTCAGGGGGGAAAATGTCCTCTTCATCTCTATCCTCAGGTTTGACGTTATCGTTGAACATCTTGAGACGAGCGATTGCTCCAATAGAAGTCTCTAGCCTGGTGTAGAATGTGACAATGCCTGAAATATTCTCCCCGAAACTCATGAGGGAGAACATAGAAGCACCAGCGAAAGCAGAGTCAGAGTGAAGCCGAACGGCAAGAGCCGTCATGACCACTGCTATTACCATGACTACGAGGTCGAGAACGAGGTTTAGCCACTGTTGAATCATGAGAAGGAGATATGCGGGTCGTTGACTGGTATTAATCAAGTGAGAATTCTTTTCGATATCGTCAGGAAGAAAACCTGTGTATATGTAGTGTTAGCGATGCCATGTCGTTACCCAGGATCTTACAAAGCGTCTTATTGGATTTGCTTTCAGTATGGGTTTCGATTTGGCATGTCACTCACCAAAGGCTCTCAGAGTTGTAATGCCCTTAACAGTGTCAAGAAAGTGTGTGCTAGATAGGTATAGATTAGTTTAAAGTACAACAGTTCCCCAGTATATGGCGGTAGGTAATGATAAACTTACTACAAGGGACTTTTTGCTTCAAGATCTAGCAACCTCAGTTGCCTGGAAGTCCGAAGGTAAAACCTTTGCAAGATGTATAGTAGGGCACCGATAAATGGGTAGCTTATGGCCAAGTATAGAGACGACGTAAGCATGACTGCAGCTTGTCCGAGTGTTTGAAAGACCTGTGATCTGTGTCAGACAATTGGACGGGTTTTGAGCCCTCTGTAGAGGCTAGTAGCAGCCACTGCAGAGTCTCAATTGGCATGTGTTTGGGATAAACTTACGCAGAAAAGAGTGTTCAAAGTTGCATCTGGCAGTTCCGTGTCTATAAGATTCAGATCTTGCGAGAACAGATTTGTGACGACTCCAGTATCCGTGTTGGCGAAGAAGTGTAGCGGTGCTTGAATAAGTGTTCGTAAGGCATCCTGGTGGAGACTAGCACCTGCCTTTTTCACGGAGATGACGAAGAGTGCGATGCCGAGGAGAAGCAGAGAGATCAAGCCGCAGATTTGAAGCAAAGCATATATCCCAGCGTAATAAGCGAAAGATTGCGTTGGATGTTCCGAGTAGATGTCATCGGTCCAGTATGTAAGCCCTGCGATGATTCGCATTAGATAATAACACTTCGTATTTCAGGATAAGCTGCATTTATCTTGACTGAAGCGCCAAGATGGTCATAAGTCTACTGTCTGAAGGCAGAGGCGACTCACAAATTGTTGCAAAGTTTGTGAAGAAACCCCAAAGAGCACCAAGAAGCAAACTACACACTGCCAGGAATAATCCCATACTCTTAACATAATGCTTGTAAACCGTTTTATCGCCGATTTGCCGGGATTTATCCGCATCCGGTGCAGTGGATGATGTATTGGTTATCGTTGTGTGAAGAATTTGCGGCTTGGATTCCTGCGCGCTCTTCTTTGAAGTCGTTTTCTCGGTAGGAGCATGGTTATCGGACGAGCCCTTCAAACCCAGACGTTGAACATATCCTTGATTGGCCATCAGTTTGTGAAAGCTACCTTGCTCGACAATAGTTCCGTTGCCGAGTGCTATTACATGATCTGCCGCTGGCAGGTGCCTGATGCTGTGGGTGCACAGCACGACCGTAGAGCGCCGTCGCCTGAGTATTCCATCAGGCCCGAACACTTGCTGGAAGACCTTCTCTTCAGTCTCCGCATCCAAGCCGCTGAAGATATCGTCTAGCACTAGAAGATCAGAGTGCAAATATAGAGCTCGCGCAAGAGAAACACGTTGCTTCTGGCCCCCGGATAGGACGATTCCATCCGAACCAACATTTGTTCGGTCTCCCTGTGGCAGCGTGGCAAAGTCAAAGCTCAGCGAGGTAGCCTCAATGACTTCTGCATACCTCTCGTTATTGTGTGGAGAGAATCCCACGATGTTATCTTTGATCGACCCGTTTGAGAGGAATGCTGTTTGGTCGCAGAATCCAACGTGAGGAAATCTAGTACCCAAAACCACGCTGCCTTCACTGAAAGGGATTTCTCCAAGTAGTGCCTTGCATAGCGTGGTCTTCCCAGAACCTACAGGTCCGACGACAATAGTGAGTGAGGACTTGGATACTCGAGTACTAATATTCCTCAAGACGAATTTATCTGCTTCCCAACCAAAACTCCCGCTCTTGATGACAAGAGAATGAATAGAGTCCAGTTCAGAACTAGACAAAGTTCCGGTGTCGGCTCGGGTCTTTTCAGCACTCCGCCTCATATCATCAAGAACTTGGCGAAAATCATGGCGAGTCTCGCATTCCAAGAAGGCCTGGATTCGGCCTAAACACGCTAATCCAGAGACAAGTTGGGGGATAGATTGAAAGACCTGCGACAACGGGTTTGTCAAAAGCGTAAGGAAAGCAAGACTGGTGAACATCCTCGAGGCATCCAAGGTTCTTTGAGTGAATGCAAAAGTTAACGGCGGGCCGATCAGCAACGGAATAAAACCCAAAACTGCGGCGATGATCATTATTTCGCGGAATCGGGCTCCAGCCGCTAGCTCCTGTACACGGAGAGTCTGCACAAAGCCACCCATGGCAACAGAGAGGCCAGATATCTTCAGATTTTTCATACTGGCAATGACTGTGGCCGTCAAGCCCACCCGCTTCTGGACCCCTGCCATCCAGGACCTCTGCGAGTCCCCGGTGAAATTTATCAAGATCCCCAAGCCAATAAAACAGATTATAACAAGACCCATTGGTGCGACGAACACTATACCCAGTCTGCCGTACAACATCCACCCGGCAAGAGCTGCTTGAATTATGCTCGCCCAAATCTCATGCAGATTTTTGAAACCTGTGTTGATTCTCTCCATGTCTGTGCTCATTAAAGTGAGCGCCGCGCTGTCATCGCCAGTTCCGATACGAGCTTTTGTGGCTTTGATGAAAATTTCCGTGACTAATATTGACCTAGCCATAGTGCGCATTCGGTGGTGGAAGTACCTGTGCTCATGTATCAGCAGCGGACCTTGTTAATAATTATTTCATAGATGTTACCATACCAGTAAAAGGCCATTGATATAGCAAGTCCCGAGTAGATAAATATGCTAGCACCGATGAAGCCGTATCCGACGTTCTCGTCAAGTTCAGGCTGTGATAGAAAATCCAACAGCTTTTCAAGGAAAAGCGGTTGACAAAATGTGAAACAAAGAAGTGCTAAACGTGGAGGTATAGGAAGTAGAAGAGGAACTTTCAGCGTACGCATGAGCACCTTCACCAGACCAAATTTGTCACCCTTTAAATGAGAGTAATCCACTTTCTTCAAGAACTCGCCGTGGACTGATATGGCGTTAAAGGAGCTATCAAGAGGGTAAAGGTCCCCAATCGTCAAGACTTTGTTGTAGCCAACTAGGAACATCTTGTTCAGCCAGAAGAAGACTCCCAAGGAGAAGATGCCACTGGTCTCCTCTGGACTATGCTCCTTCTCGTCCCAGTCCACCCATGTGGACTTTTGCTGGGCTTCTAATAGCAATATTCCGGCCTTCAGAGCTATAGCAGCAACGAAGATGCTGCTATAAGTGAGTTCAGGTTTGTTATCTGATAACAGAAATAGCGTTCTTGCCTGAGCTGTGTCAAGGAAAAGTGTCAGGAACAAGTAGCTGCTCAGTAATACAGACGGCTTTGGGCTTTTGCTATGATCGATAACACTCAGCGTGATCATGAGTAGGGCTGAGACAAGGTTGAGGACCGAGGAAGCTATGAACATGTTGGTCACATGGAAGGACCCAGCCGCAACTAAGATAAGTAGTGAAAGTTCAAGTCCGACATAGGCTGTGATAGCACCCTGCGACAGGTTAATCAGCACGTTGAGACGCTGCATCCGTCCACTGAGAAAAGTAGCATACCAATTTGATAAATTGGAAAACCGGCGCATTCACCACGGTGGGCTTCCGTGCCTTGGAAAAAGTCCGCCATAATGATGTTACGATGAACAAAGCAGACGGAATGACGGAGAAGAACAACTGCTCGAATTGGATGTTAAAGTCAAAATCCTCTCCGTTCAACCGAAGCAAGTTCTCTTCTCCAGTTGTGAACGGCATCGTAGACACCTAAATAGGCAACGCAAGCTTAGTATATTGCCGCAGCGTCCTGCAGCTTTGAGAGCCAATTTGGAGTCTGGAGGATTCCCTTGCTCGAAGCTGACAGCGAACGTTGACCTAGTGTCAGGTGATCTGAATTGCGCTAGTGTACGATCTGACCATTCATAGATATCAGCTTGAGGCTGGTAGTCCATAGACCACCATTGTTGAGATATCAAGTTGTGACTTCTCGCATTTACTATGTATATCTGTCTGGGTGGTTCAACATGGTGCCAAAAATCTCACCTTCCTGTCTCGGACCGCGGGGAGTGGAAATCACGATGCCGATTTTGCCCGGGAGATCGAGAGTATGGAATGCACTATCCAGCTAGTTCGCGGGGATGTCAAATACCGATGATGTCGCACGCGCTGTGGATGGGACGCTCGCTCCACTGAAAGGTATAGTCCAGATGTCAATGGTTCTCCGCGATCAAATGTTCGACGGGATGAACATCGAGGACTGGAACGCTGTCACGAAACCCAAGGTTCAGGGCACCTGGAACCTTCACAATGTTACGGCCTCGACTTGGAACTGGACGTCTTCCTCTTGTTCAGCTCTTTGTCGGGAATTATTGGCCAAGTCGGGCAGGCCAACTACGCCGGCGCAAATACCTTGATGCCTTTGTGCAGTATCGCACTGGCCTGAACCTCCCCTGCACCGCAATGGACCTTGGTGCGATGGAAGGCATAGGCTACTTGTCTGAGAATCAAGGCTTCCTCAGGAAGATACAGGGCACTGGATGGCGCGTAGTCCGAAAGTCGAGCTCCTCAAAGCTCTGGACATAGCCATGATCGGTGGCGCCAGTAAGACTAGTACAGCGACCGATGGCCTACGCACATTCTTGGTTACGGTCAGGAGGGATCCGAGTCTTCTGAAATCCACCGGAACTGTAGAATACCTTGCTATGGAAATTGGGAAGAAACTGTTTGCCTTGCTTCTGGTAGGGGATAAGGAAGTCGAGATCACCATGACCACCGCGGACATGGGTTTGGACTCGTTGGTAGCGATTGAGTTGCGGGGCTGATGGAAGTTGAACTTCAGTTTCCTATTTCAAAGAGTCTAATACTTCCTTTGTGTTCTCGGTTTGCTAATATTCGTATTCATTAGGAAAGAGGTTGTTTGCTTGCTGGGATAGCTTCTGACATATTATCTAAACCTTCCATATCAATAGAATAATTATTGTAGATAATATTATTCAGATCCTCTGGGGTTTACCACTTGCTTCTTCTTCTCTCTCCTTTCTCTCTATCTTTGCTTTTCTAGTTTGGATGCACTCTTTCTCGTTGATTGAACTAGCACGTAACATAGAGACCCTAATAAACTAGCAAACAAACGCTCAGTCTGACACAATCGTCAGGGCAGTCCGATCTCTAACAACATAACAACGATGGAGCTAACGCCGGGGTTATTTGAAAATATTCACAGATCGAATAAGAGAATCAAAACTTTAGGAATCTTCCCGAAAATCTTCGGCCTAAAATGCCCTTTAGAATAAAGAGCTCGGGCGGGCGGGCGTTGATTATCGACTTCCCTTGCTCTACATTAAAATGTCGGCCAGCTCTAAAGCGATCACGAGCAAAGAGAAGATTATTATGGATAGAGTCAGGCGATACAAAGCGTTTACGTGCTCTCTAATAGAATCTGTTACATACAGTCTGTGTTTTATAAGAGATTGCATATTATATGATAATGAAGCGTTTCTACCACTAGCACTACGCACTTTCAACCCCTTCGCCAGAACAGGCTCGTCTTTCACAATGCCATCTCCCTAACCCACATCAGCACCGGGTCGCCAGATTTCCGAAGAGATATAGTCCTTAGCAGATTCCAATGTCGAAACGGGCATTTGGCACCGTCTACATGGTTATCGACGTTCGGGCAGGACAACCAGCATCAACAAGGCAGATTCTCAAGTCGTGGAGAAACGCAGGGGCTGTGGAACAAGAGTTGGAAATGTCTCGGCGTATCTCTGAGTTGAGTCACGAGTTCCCAATTCCTTGCTTGTCATTTCCGTGTCTCTATGAACTCCAGCGACAACTCTCAGCCACGCTCTCACCTCTCCCCAAGCCTACATACACTATGCGTCTAGACCCGGCTGAGGTTCTGTCTAGATTAAACCAGGCGTCCTACCTTGGATAGTATTATGTACGAATACACCCTCATATCATCTCTGACGAGCACAACATTTCACTCATTGGTGTGCATCAGATAATGTATTAGCAGAAGACAAAGTCGAGTGTTTTACTCAGCTTCTAGAGACGATCGATTTCCTTCACTGGCATGGCATCTGGCACAGAGATACAAAGCCAGACAACATCCTCGTGAGAAGCTTTGATCCTCCAGATGTAATGCTAATTGGGTTTGAATACGTATCTGACGCCAGGTTCATCCCCTATGATGATTGAACAGGCACTGAGCAATATTTTGCGCCCGAGCAACTCAAAGGCAAAACCTATAATCGGGCCGTTGATTATTGGGGCCGTGGTATGATCGGATTGGAGAGGAACCAATTAGGTCGAGGATCGTGGCCGAACCTGGCCTCACAGGCTATCAGGAGAAACCCTTGAGTATTTACAAGAAAACTCGCCGTTGGCCAGATGTGCCCGAAATCTGCTGGTAAAAGTTCCAAGCTCACGCATGACGTCTGCTGATGCTTTGCTCTGCTTCAGCATATCCCAAAAAAGCAGGTGATCAAGCAATAGGATAAGGTTGATGCCATGATAGATAGTTCATGAATTTTGACCCAGCTAGTCTAGGTCTGCCAAGGACATATTTCCATTGACTCATTCTACTAGAGCTTCGCATATCGATAGCTTGATAACTGCGCCAAGAAGACCAATAAGATTTAGGCAAATGAAACTAAGTCGCACGCTCCCCCAACTAGGAAATTTTCATATTTTCCTATATGTAGGTAAAACCTGAAGACCGGCTCCGCTATATATAAAATTAGGCTTAGAAAGATTGAAATCGTCCCAACACAAATCTACGTACTCCGCACGCCCGAGTGGCAAAAATATGTGTCTCGAAATATAAGCACAAGGCAACACCGCAACGCCGCAAACTCGCAACAATTAATGCGCAGCAAGCTCCATCCACACCGAGACTCTGTGCTCCACAGTCCACCCGTGATCTACGAGATTGCACTCGAAAGTGTAAAAAAAAAAACTTCTGCAACGGCCAGTGCCCGAAACCAACAATGTGCTCATGACTCTCATCAATGCGCTCATCACTCTCGGCAACATCCACCTCAATTTCGTACCAACCCCCAAGGCGTGTCGCTGAAGCGGGAAAGAAACGGGAGAGGGACTCCGTTAGACCATTCGTCCGATCTGGAAATGATACTCGTTTAAGTGGGGGCTACGACTCCGGTCAACTGGATCTTTCGGGGGTCTGTTTCCACTAATAATCTAAATGGGTTTTATTTCTTCGTTGATCGTTGGGTGATCTTTAGAGTACGGAATTAACTATGGAATTAACTATGGAATTAACTATGGATACAAAAATAAGTGTGTTGTTGGTGCATATGTAGGGGAGTTGGAATGAGATGAAGAAGTGATGTGGACTCGGTGCATAGTACGGAGTACAGAGTACATATAGACATACGTTGTACACTCAGGTTGGGGAAATACGGCACTGTATATCACATCGGTGTGTCTCGACATATTGTGGAACGATAAAATTGCAACTGGATGGAGAACGCGGTGAAAGACAAAGCGGGTGTATATATCCCAGGAATCGGAGCATGTGTGATAGGCAATTCTCAAAAGTCTTAACGCGAGCTCGGGCAATTACATTACCTCTTGTGGACTAGTTTATTGAACTATTATGGAGAGCGCGGGAGATGACTTCAGGGCTTAAGCCCCTCTCATTTTGTAGAATTATGTACTCCGTAGTGGGGATTGACTCGTGCGGTTTAACCATACCTCTAATCTCACAATATTGCTCCATACAGTAAATTAGGAGTGCAAATCTCCATCGCATAACTGCCGAGCAAGGCTAGGGTAGTTGTGTTCCCCGATACCCTTGGAATGGTGTGTGCCGCACTGCAGCTGTTCGTTGCATATACCCCTGCCGTCAGCTGCACTGGACTTCTTGTGGCGACACTTTGATGCTCAAGGTATAAGCTCGGCACTGTTGGACAATCCTGGACGGAGTACGGAGTATCGGAGTATCGTAGAAATGGCGTAGTCAGAGCTACGTAGTATACGAGGGGCAGCCCCTCGGGATCAGCCCCTGCATGTGTACGGAGTATGGATCCCCAACTCATTGACTTTCCCTTGGAAAAGAAGATCAGCGCATGAAGGAGACCAAGTATGAAAAGGAGAGTGCGAGAATGTGGAACCTGAATAAACAGAAAGCGCAAAAAGTAAATTGGATGCGAAGGTTTTGCAATTTCGATAGATTCGGGCAAAATGAGACATGTGATTGGTCCAACCCCTCGAACGCTGACCGCTAGGCGCCGTCATGAACTTCCCTCCCAACCTCTGGTAAGTTTAACTAGATAATGTCTACGGAGTACACCTGGACACTTGGACCCAACATATCCGAGGCTGCATCTGTGAACCGCGCCCAATTCGGATTATAGTTCGTGGAGTCGATGACGAAGGATAACTGTGAGGCTGCAGCCTTCATCGTGCATCTTGCATTAGACCTTACGTGTCGGGCTGTAGTGTCACAAGTCTAGGTCTGGACTGGGCAGCTTTTGAAAATCACCCAGTTCTGAAGCATGATTCTACCTAACCTTGTAGCCTATCGGGAAACGGGTAGGTTTCAACTTTGATCTGGGCGGAGGATAACCCCAACGATCGAGAAGAGCCCCGCCAACGACCAACATCTGATTAGGGGCGACCGAGGCAACGGCCAAATTATTTCATCCTCCGTCCTCCGTCCTTCGTCAAAATGTACATTTGTATCCCTGGTTTCCCCTTCTTTTTTTTTTTTTTAAAAAAAACTCTCATCACATTTCCACATATCCCCAAAACAAGAACAAAGGAGGAACGCACGGGGACCAGGGTGACCCAAACGTTTGCATCCGATGCTACACCGTAAGGAGCTGATGACATGGCGCTAAGGCAAGCCAAATTGACCTGGCCCGCAGCTCCCGCTGCATTCTTTGGGGCTAAGAAGGGGAACCGGGCAATCATAACCCCCGACTTAGGACGTCTGGAAGGATGGAAGCTGGGATCGGCTGTGCCCCAATAGTGGAGTGAGTGGATTGGAATGAAATGGGAAGTTCATCACTGTGGATATATCCCTTTCCTAGATTACTTGTAACAAAAAAACAGAGGCAGACTGAGAGCATCTAGCGTCGGACGTGACCGCTTTACATACTCCGTAGACTCCGTGAACTCCGTACTTATTAGTACTAGTTTACTATAAAGTAGATTATATTGGAAAAGAAACATGGTACTAGGCCTCGGATCTTGTCTGGCATGCAGGGTCCCTTTAGGAATCTCGTATTTACTTCCGTACCTCCGTACAACATAAGCTGAATCCTGCCAATATACGGAGTATGGAGTACCTCTTTGTTATTCAAGAGGATGATCAGACCAGGGCTGGGTCCTTTAAAAGAAACGCCAATGTGCCGCTGGCCGTGTTGTTACGGTGTGCTCAGTGCATACCAAGATCGGCATTTTCCTAGGTTGTGTCAGCGGTCCCACTAGGAGAACTCTGATCAAAACAAATCAGACACATCTGGCCTTCTGGAAAATTGTCTCCAATTATTTCCTTTTTGCTTTCCCTTTTTTTTTTTTTTTTTGGGGTGGCCCCTGCGGTGCAGGGAGTG